TGAGGGGGGACGGAATTGGTGTCCTCGAACTCAAATTCCTGCTCGAAAAAAGCATCTTCTGCTTCCTCTTCTCCATTCCTAACCACCCTTGGTATAGCCATCTCTCTTCTTTTGCTCAACAAACTGAAAAACCCTAATTTGGAATTGGAGAGAGGGCTTAAACCCCGCCCGATGAAAAGCATTTACATTTTAGCCACTTTTGTGGCCAATATTTTATTTTTTAGCCACAAATAATTAAAAAGAATATTACAATTACAGCCACATAGGGAACATCACTACTCCCTTTTTTCTTCGTATCCGCATTGGAGCCGAGCTAAATGTGAATTCACGCCAAAAAGTCGTTCCCTAACAAAGGCAGCTCTGTATACATATGATTTAAGATGCAGGAGTATTTATCATTGCACCACTTAATAACTCTGTAGACAGGGAGTACTTATTGGTTACCGCTTTTTCCTTGTTCTTTATGCTCCGACAAAGAAAATTACTTTCCTCGTCCTGATTTATGTGACATAATTGAAATTTTGAGAGTCATTTTAAGTTTTTATTTGGTTTAATTTTTTGTATCGATTTATTCCATCTTTTGAATATTATAAAATATCAGTTATCGTGATTTAAAGTATATTTTTTTTAGAATTCTCCAACATGTATAAATTTATGATCAATGTATAAAATTTTAAATCTTAAAATTTTAAATGCATCACGTAAATTGAGATACACAGAATAATCGAGAAGTTGTAGTCATGTTCTCCTTGTAGTAATCTATATTGGCTATTGTCGATATAAGTTATATATGTTGCAAGCAATTGTATCATAGGCGAGTGTCTCCCTCACATTAGGAAGATTATCGTTGAGCTCCACTTTTGCTATTCGTGGAAATTAGGAGCGGTAAAATCAAAAGCAGACTCTTTTAAGTCGTTAAGTTTTGGACGGTTATTGAATCGTGACATATCAATCATTTTTATTATCATTATCTTATCTTTTACTTCATACATCTAGTTAAGTTTAATCAACGTATATTATTTGGTGTTAATTTTTTTGTCATCATTAATTTGTTACTAAGAACATTCAAATTTTATCTTATTTTTTAAAAAATAAAATAAATTTACAACTCATGTGAGCACATCTTGATTAAAAGATATATATGATGTTTATTTTAATAAAAAAAAAATGTAAAAGGAAGATATTCACATTTCATCAAATTCAAAAATATTGCTTCTAAGCTCGAAATTTTGATTTTCAAGCCCAATATATATGATGAAAGCAAATGGGGACATTTCATTCTTCATCCTTGATTTGTATTTGACTTTCTTGATCCTTCCCTTTAAAAATTTTAACGTTAATTTGGTACGAGAGATAAAAGATAATAATTTCAGAATGTTATGTTAGATTTACTTTATTTTAATTTAGTTAGAGATATGACTCTATTAGTAAGTCCCTAGATTATTTATCTTGCATATATAATAAGATAATTAATTTCATAAAATAACTTTGTCTATCTCATTTTTCTTATCAAACGACTCGTGAGTTTATTATTACTGCTCAATAAGCTAATTTCAAAAAACAATCCGATGAGTATATGCTTCTATATGTAATTTTTCAAAAAAGATTACGTCTTCGACCTTCATAAACATGTCTATCTTTTTCATGTGAGATTGTGATTATCCTAATTAAAATAGTCAATTAGAACATATCAACATGAGGATTTGATTGTAACTGCATAATATATTTTATTTTATTTATATGAGAATTAAAGATAAATTACTAATTTGTGATCAACAATCACTTGATTCAAGAAATTTGAAAAAATTAGGTTTTTAATTTAATTAATCTTGATTGACAGATAAAACAAAATGAATTCACTTTTGTTTACTTTTTTTACTTGTTCACTATTTTAAAAATGGATTTTCACTTTTACCTATCATTTTAATATATATAAAAAAAGAAAGAATTATTTTCCTTATTTTACCCCCAACATGAATTACTTATTTCCTCTGATCAATTTTCAAAACTTAAAATTATGCATCAATTAATATAAATATTATACTAAATTATATTTATATTTGACACTATTTTAACGTGTAAAGTTTAAAGTGAACAAATTTGAGGATATAATTTTGTATATATAGTGGAAATGTTAACATTTCCAAAGGCTTAACATAATTAATTTCATAAGCAAGTTCATTAATTAAAAAAAATAATACAATATTATAGTGGTTTGGGTAGAGGATTTAGGATATGCTGAGAATAATCAAATTTTATTCCTCTTATAATTGGCCTCCACCACATTTTTTCCATATATCATAATAATAATTTTTTAGGTAAATTAAAGGTCACCATCACTAGGGAATCTCCCATAGACTTCATATTATATATATTAATAATCCTTTATTAATTAATTACATTTCTCAATATTTTTTAAGATAAAGATTATCCTCATTAGCAATCATTTTGGCTTTAGTAGTCGACCATTGTGTGGCTCTTTTTTGTATGTGATACCATCAACATTTAGAGATAATGATAATTAATGTTTTAAATTAAAAGATAATCATCTTTAATATCGTTTACTTTGGAGTTTGGACGTACAATAATAAAATAATATAGTGAGTTAATATATAATAATTATTACGCTTCAATAATCCCTTTCTATTTAGGATCAAATCATAAATTCTATTGTAATCAAATTTGTTTATGAAAGAAATAATTATAACTTATTTTAATCTCGATTTTTAAAATTACTCATTTAATAGTTCATGTGACTAAATTTTAGATTCTAGAAAATTTACTTGAGGTTATTATTATTAAAACTTTCTTGTTATCTTTAATCTTGGATTCTAATTTTACGTGTGTGTTGTTTTTCTATTTTATTTATCGTACTATTTATGTTGGTTGCTCCTATTATTTTCTATATGATTTCTTCACTGTTATGTTGCTTTTCGTACTAATTTAAATATATTTTACGTAAATTGTGGGTTTATTTAAAATGATGTTTTTATATTCACAAGATAGAAATAAACTTACACAGACATCTCTCTCCACAACTTCACTTATAATATATACTAGATATATTATTCTAATTATTCTGAACGAAGAAAATGAATTTATCTAGATAATTGCCCATCTTTTCAATTGTTAGAAAGAAATCAATAAAGTCATTTAGACGAACTTTGCTTTCTATTAAAGTGGGCAAAAGTCCTATATTGGTTGGAGAATGGACTAGTGATCGGGATCTCCTTATATGGACGTAGACAATCCTCTTTTCACGAGCTATCTTTTTGAATTGAATTAGACTCAGGTGTCATACCTTGATCGTTTCTATAATTTTGACAAGGGACTGAATTATTTTTCCTGGTTTAGCGTATGTAAAATTTCAAACTATGCTTAATGTCTTAAAGCTGATATTTTCTCATATATAATTAAAAAAATTATTTAACGTATGCTTCAAATATAATGTTTACGATTTCTGAGTGATGTTACTACTTTTATGAGAAATTGCTGGATATTTATTCAAAGAAAATGAAAGGCTATAATTCAAACATAAACATTTGAAGATTTAATATTAGATGAAATTGTGATAAATTACATAAAATTCTTTTATATACCATCTATATACACCAACAAATATTTTTGATCTTTTTCTTAAGAAATACTTTCATTTTGTAACCAAAACTAAGGCATGATTTTTTGTAACTAAAAATACAACAACAGTTAATGGAAATATTTATACATATAAAGATTAGCTTAGTGAAATATATATAATGTATTTTTTTAGGAATATCAGAATTATTCAAGTCATTGTTCTTATCAAATATGATGTGTATCATATCTGTTCATCTTATCCATTATTTTTTCCTTCACAAATGATCATGAACCTACTCTAATTACAATTAAGAATTTAATGGTAATTCTCCAAACTCGTGCGCCATAAGATCAATTACTTATGGTATATATATATATATATATATATATATATTAATTATAAGCAACATGATTAATATTCACTAAGTTTCTTAGCTTAAGTCTAAAACCAAAAAATTATGCTAAAAACAAGATTTGTAAAATTAATCTAAAGAACTCTCATATTTCAGATCATTCAAGAGGACAAGGTGCTAGAAAGACAAATGGGACAAAAAAATTAATTAATTAATATCATCTTATCAAGTAATGCCACGTGTCAATAATTTGATTCTCTAATATGCATTGTTTTGCTGGATGAAAATGATGGCCATTTAAATAATTAAATAAAATATTGAAAAATATTAATTCGAATAAGAATTAATAAAACTCTCAAGTACTCGTATTCAATTTTAATTTCAATTCTTTTCTTAAAACTTCAGCTAAGTATTTGTCCAAATGCCTACTAAATATAGTAATATACAGAACTTCAAACACCTACTTATTAAATGCACATTTTCGATGGTAAACAGAAAAAAAGGTTTCGTATTTATACAAAATTATGTATTTTCTGATCATTTTAATTCGCGTGATACTATTTAATCAAGCATAAATTATTTAAAAAAATCATCATCATAAACTTCTGGTAAAAAAAGTATCGCTTAAAACTTTTGCATATCATATTTTTTAAAAATTAAATGGTTTAATTTTTACATATTAACTATCACATTAGATTCTTTTTAATTACAACATAGGGAAAAAAAGGTTAAATACTTTTACCATAATTAAATACTAAAATGAGGTAATACATGTATAAGTTAATCATAGGTTAAATGGCACTACATATTTTATCTCACTTCGTGACATTCTTTGCAAATTCGTTAAAACACACAAATATTAAAGAATATTCAAAACATAAAATTCTAATTTATTTTTTTAAAAAAAATTGTGTCGAGTTAAATTATGTAATATAACGAAGAAAGTACATAATAATTTATTTATGTAACAAATATTATAATATGTATTAATTAATTAAATTTTGGTGGAACCCAAGTTATTATTTCCCCCTCCCCCTTATGACAAGTACTATATAAGTAGTTGTTTTAGACCATTATAACATCCTATAACACAAAATAAAAAATTAAACTAAATATTCTTGATTTTCCGACGATATGCCGATCAGCCGGATAGCAATCGGAAGGAGGGAGGAAGCCACTCACCCCGACGCCTTAAAGGCGGCGTTGGCTGAGTTTATCTCAACCTTAATTTTTGTATTTGCAGGCTCAGGTTCAGGTGTTGCATTTAGTAAGTTAACCGGTGGGGGTGCAAACACCCCCACCGGGCTCATTGCTGCTGCGATAGCCCATGCTTTTGGGCTATTCGTAGCGGTTTCGGTTGGGGCTAACATTTCAGGAGGACATGTTAACCCTGCTGTTACATTTGGTGCTTTTGTTGGTGGTAATATAACACTTTTACGTGGAATTTTGTATTGGATTGCTCAATTGCTTGGCTCTGTTGTTGCTTGCTTGCTTCTCAAGTTCACCACGGGTGGCATGGTGAGTTTGTTAAGTGTTACACCCTCGGTACAATTTTATATTGAATTAGTTTGATTTGATGTATGCGAAGTAAACGCAATACAAAGTAGTTTTAATACATTCCCTAATAAAAGCTTTCTCAAAGGTAATGTAAAATCAACACGAATCAAGTAAAATAAACAAAAAACGTGTACTTTCTCTATTTCATTTTATGTGAGGTAGTTTGAGTCGATACTGACTTTAAGAAAGAACGGATGATTTTTTAATCTTATGGTCTAAAATGAATGATGGTAATTTGTGTGATCGTAAAATATTTCATTAGGGGTAAAATAGATATTTTATAATTAAATTTTTACTTAATATAAAAATATATCATTCTTTTTTGGGACTAACTAAAAATGAAAGTAAGTCACATAAATTGGAACAAATGAATTATTTTATATATAGAAAGTCCTTTTGGTCAGAAAATTTGACCAGAATAGTATTTTACCTTTTTTTTTTACATTTTAATCCTTTTAACTCTAATATCTTTTAATTAAAAATGAAATAAAGATTAATTTATTTTTTTTAAAAAGAAATATTATACACTTATAAAATTTTCTGATCAAATTTTCCGATCATTTAACGTTATCTTGTATATATATTAGTATATAAATAACACTATTTGACTTTGAAATGATATTGCAGGAGATAGGTGCATTTTCTTTGTCTAATGGAGTTGGTGTAGGCAATGCATTGGTACTAGAAATTGTAATGACATTTGGGTTGGTGTACACGGTGTACGCTACCGCAGTGGATCCAAAGAAGGGTAGTTTGGGAACAATTGCACCAATTGCAATTGGTTTCATTGTTGGAGCCAATATTTTAGTTGGTGGGGCTTTTGATGGGGCCTCAATGAACCCAGCTGTTTCATTTGGGCCAGCACTTGTCAGTTGGGCCTGGAGCAATCATTGGGTTTATTGGGTTGGGCCTCTTATTGGTGGTGGGCTTGCTGGGCTTATCTATGAGTTCTTTTTCATTAATCAGACCCATGAACCATTGCCCCAATAAGATGAAAAAAAAAATGTAAAATGATGAATTTTACAATCATATTGTGTGTGTTTTCACAATTGCCCTTTGATTTGGGATGAACTTGGTTGTATTGTGTGAAGTTGTTGGGGTGGGTAGGGAAGAGGGTTGAGGGTATTTATGTAATTGTGTTGGGATAAGGTTTGGGGGTTGGGGTGGAGGGTATATATGTAATTGTGTTGGGGGTGGGAGTTGAGGGTATATATGTAATTGTGTTAGGGGTGGAGATGGGGAGAAGATTTGGGGGTTGAGGGTATTTATGTAATTGTGTTTGTTCCATGTTACAATTGTCAATTGAAGTTTCTTCTACTTTGCATCAATATTTTAGTAGCACATTTTATTGTTGTAATATTTATACTAATAGATAAAAATTATGGGAAAATATAGAACAATAAGAATTGTATAAAGAGAAAAAAGAAAATGTCTAAAAATATTTAACACGTGCGACGCTAGAAGGAACAATCAGTCAAAGGCGAATTCAGGATTTGAAGATATCGAGAGTTTTATCATCTTAATATGAATTCCAACAAAATGTTTTATGATGATCGAAGGATAATATCATTACAAATTGCTCATTAATAGCGTGAAGCAGTAATAAAATCATAAGTATATAATAGTCAATGAAGTGGATGGAAAACCGCAAAGTTTCATCCAAATTATTTAAAATACCTGTCATGTTTATTCGAATCTTAGAAAAGAGTAAGAAGGAGAAAAAAGAAGTCTATATATTATGCAATTTTCTTGTTTGTTTTTTTTACACAACAATCACTTTGCTGATTAAAAGAATAACAACAATCAAGAAAACAAAAATCTTTTGTAACAAATATAAATATTATGAATAGAATAATCTCAAGCAGTATCATCTGGTGCCATAAGATAAATTGGTCTCTTGTTTTTTGGTTGCAATGGCCTTCCATTCTTTTCAGCATACTGCATTCAAAATTAGATAACAATAATAATCAAAACCGGAGGTGAAATTAAGATTTTTAAAATTTATAGATTTTTATCATATCTCATCGTAGTCTTAAGTTAATATACAATAATATAATTAATTTAATAAAATATTTATATATATGTTAATGAAATATTTTGATGCATATAAATTGTGTTTGGAGAAAAAGCTATCGAATTGATATAAATCCATAAGCTACATTATATCAAATGAGTCTATCTGTTCAAATTTTAACAATGAGAGACATTCATTTGATAGGACCGGACAACATAGATATTTACATGTCTGATACGACATAAGTCATAGAAATAAAATAATATTTTATGAGAAAATCCTTTGTTGGTGTTTGGTTAATAGGGAAATAAGAAAATGACTTTTCTCATTTATGAAACGAAGTTGGTTTTTTTTTTATACATATTATAAGTTTTATTCTCGTTGTCTCAATTTACATGAAGGTTATAAAGGTATAACTTTCATAATACTTAATTATAGATTCTTTAAATATTTTAAAATAAAATTTATTATATTTGACTCCCTAAACAATAACATCTTCGGATAAATTGAATGGGAGAGTAATTTTAATTGTTTGCTCAAACATATACTAGACATAATTATCAATTTTTAATCATGATTGAATTTACATATTACATGCTATCGATTGAACAGAACTCAATAATTTTAATATTATTTATGGAAATTGAGTTACATCATACTAATTAGTTAATTACCAAGCATACTTAGCATAAATTCATTAAACATAATATCATGTGGAGAATAGGAAAACTTACATCATGAACTGCTTCTCTAAGCATTTTGACTTGTGCTCTTGAAACAGTCCTCACCTAATATTGATTACAAATTGCATTAAACATATCATTAGTATAAATCTTAGTTGTTAATTAATAGGGACTTAATCAAAATTAAGTTGTTAATTACCTACCTTTTTTTTAATTGTCCAAATGACTCCTTCAGTGCAAGGAGGAACAGTAAGTGAACCCATATATCTATAATATTTTCTACTACCAATCTTGATTTCTCTTGGATCAATCATACCAGCATTTTTCACTTCATCTTTTTTATCGATCATAGACGATATATTTCTTATCAACTGTCAATAAAATCATGTAATATTAGTATACTACGCGTATACGAATGTCAAAGACCTTATTTGTTGTCATTAAAATTACGATATTCAAATTAAAATACGTATCTGAATATTATAATGTACTAGATTTACCTTCGAGAGAAATCGATCAGGTTTACCAATTTTGTAGAGAACTCCAATCACAACAATTTTATTTGTTGCATTTTCGTTTAAGTGTACCATGTGCATTTCCATGTCATACCTGTCCCAAAATATAACATTAAATAAAAGAAAATGATATAAAGTACTTCATATTTTAATACGTTTTATTAAATTTTATGTGACGTGAATCTAAATTAATCACATACCTTCTGCCGTTTACGGTGTGTTCAGAAGGAGAGTGCCAATGAGCTTGTTGCAGAGGATAATTTGTGCCATTTATTGTAACAGATCCAGCATCACCATGCCATTGTAACTGCATTTTTATATATACAAACTTTATTATTTTTATGATTTTTAAAAGGTAATTAATTAAAAAATTGACTATTAATTAAAAATAAATTGAACTATATATATAAGAGTAATAAAAGTGAAGAGATTTTTTTTTTTAATTATCAAAGGTACATTCCACTCTTTAGTCCTCTCTTTAGTGTATCATTTACAATATATGTACAACCAAAAATTAAAAATATATCTAAGAGTAATAAAAAGTTCATAATTTTCGAAATTGAAAAACTTTAAAAACCCCAAATATATAAGATTCTTGTACTTTATAGCTATTAAATTCAAATATATAGGGAAAAGAGAGGTCAAAAGTCAAGAAGCATCTTTAAAATTATTGAAGTATGTATAACTTTTCAAAATTCGAATAATAAAACATGATAGGTCTACCATAATTAAAAATTTTAAATTTGATTACTGAATATGATATCTCTTAAAAAAATTGTTTTTATTTTTCCTATGTATAAACATCTCCTAGCACAATTAATTGGTAGCTGTCAACAGCTAAACCTATATAGTATAAAAATGATTAATTTCTATAAACAATCTTGCTTATTAAGTTAAAATTACAATTAATTAAATGTTATTCAAGTTGTTTTATTCCTTGGCAGGAGTAGCTAGCAATTTCATAACATTGTAATTTCACAAGTAAAATCTGAGATGAATAAATATACGTAAGCCTTATGATGTTTAATTTTCTGCGATAAAAATCAATAATTGTTTTAAATAGATTCGAAAGAATATATACTCACCGAAATATCATGTCCTCTATTCTTAACGGTAGCATTGCATAGCTTATAATGCCTTTTATCTGGCTTTTGAATAATTCTAACTCTTTCATGTGACATATCAATAGGAGATTGCATTTCTCCATTATTACAAGCTTCCCATTCTTTCTTCAATTTTCCCCACATTTTTGGACCTTTTTCACTTTTTTCACCATAATCAAACTCCCTCTCATCCTCTAATAAAATCAACAAAACATTAATAAATTGAACGATATAATTACAAAGACATAGTACATAACGACAAATTAAAGAACAGTTTGATGCATTAAGCTCATAGTTGAATATGAGAGAAAATTTTAGCTAGGTCGTTGAATGCCTTTATATTAACTTTTCTGATTTCGACACTATTGTCTATAGTTATGAGCAAGGTACGAGAAAATATCAGATAAAGCCTTAGATCGATTCAATATAATCTCATAACTTTTCTCAAACCTTGCTCAAAACGAAAGATTAATGCATTGAACTGTGTTTAATTGTTTATTTAATATCAAAAAAAATAGAAGAGTTATAATACTTACCAACTTCTTGAGCTTTAATGAATGTAGTGGAGAAGAAGATGATAATGAATAAAATAGATAAATATCTTTGTTGCTTCATAATTAGAATTATTGCTACCTTTTTTTTTTCTTTCTTGAAGATGAAGAAAATGTAACAAATTAATAATAAGAGGGTCACCTAGTTGGGGTTTTTATAGATGGAAAAAAAAAAAAAACTATGGTGTAAAATATAATTCCTATGTGGCAGCCACATGAGACTTTCCTATGACTTTCTTTTTTTCAAATTTTATTGGATAAATTAATTATCAATACCAACGACCATATCACGACAAAATAATATAATAAAGATAAACAACAAGTGGAAAAAAGGGGGAAAAAATGACAATATCCCTTACGTTAGGTAGGGCTCAAAATAATATTTCTAACTATACTCTTTTGAGTATATTTCATACGTCTTCTGTGTCTCAATTTACGTAATATATTTTATTTTTTAACATGAAATTTTAATTTTTATAAAATCTTTTATATATTTATAAACTATATAAAAGTATTATAAATCACAATAATTTTCAATTCAAAATATTCAAAAGATATATAAAAAATTTACAGCCGAATAGAGACTTATATAGATCCAAAATTTAAGATTTATCACATAAATTAGCATGGAAAAAGTATTAAAGTTTATCAAAAGATAAGTAATTTTTATTTTCGTCAAATGTTATAACGAATGCTGTTTGTTAAAGTTTGAGGAAAACTATGAAAAAAAGATTTAACCAAAAGCATAGATAGAAAATAGGGTTGGAACTAGTCAGATAGGATCGAGGAGGTTCAATCTCCTATATACGACACCTCATTTTTAGAGCAGGAACGAAAAATGAAATGTTGCTTAAAAATTCTCTAGTTGTGAAATCTGAATACTTGTAGCTCAACTATATTTAGTCTTAAGGGAATCGATATTTCAAAAAATATTAAACTTATGTATATAGGTAAACGTTAAATCATTTTCGACTTTTTCAAATATTTTCTTCTTTATATTTTAAATTTTTTTCTATAAAGATCATGATTTTACTCGTTGAATAAAGTCTTTTCCAATTATTTAATTTATTTATCTTTGTGTTTGTTAGGGGGTAATATGAATTAGTAAGACCATAGTTGACAAAATCCAGAAGGCCTATCATTCAAGACTAGTCAACGTGCATTTTTTAGTGTTTCTTATAAAAATAAAATGTGTATTTTATATTGGAGTTTTCATATGAGTCTTAGTATAAAACACAGATTATTATACAATTAAGTTTCAGAATAATTATAAAATAACTACATATAAATCATAACAAAGTTGATTTATTACTAACTAAAGCTTATTAGTTTATACTATTACAAATTATATTAAAATTTTCATAAATGCCAGCTAAAAATAATATAAATGCACTAATAATTACATGCACTAAAGTTCAACAAATAAAGAATAAATACATGTTGAATACGGGTGTGTTTGGTATGAAGGAAAATGTTTTCTTTGGAAAATGTTTTCCTAGAAAATGTTTTCTTGGAAAACAAGTAGATTTTGAACTTGTTTTCTCATGTTTGGTTGGTGATTAGAAAATATTTTTCGAAAATGATTTTGTGTTTGATTTATGAATGAAAAATATTTTTGAGGAATATCTTTTATTTTTATTAGAATACAAAATAATTTATGAAATTGAAAATATTTTTTAAAAATAATTTTTTTGGGTAATGGTGATTGGGGTGCGGTGGGGTGGGGGGGATAGTAGGGGGGCAGAGGGGAGGGGTAGGAGTGATAAAATAAAAAATTGAAGTTGATAGTATTTTTAAAAAATAAAATTAAATTTTTGGGGGAGTGGAGGTGGGGGTGAGGGGGCTTGTAGGGGTGGGTAGTGGGGCTGCCCGGGGGGAGGTAGGAGCTTAAAAATAAAATTTTGAAGTTGAAAAATATTTTTGAAAAACAAAATTAATTTTTTGGGAAGGGGGTGGTGTTGGGGGAGGGGGATCATAGATCGGGTGAAAAAAATAAAATTTTGAAATTGAAAATATTTTTTTAAAAAATTGATGTTTTCCCAAAAAAAAAATGTAATTTAAAATTGGATGAGAGCTTTGGAAAATGTTTTCCTTAATTTTTGAAGGGAAGTCATTTTCCTTAATTTTGAGGAAAATGAGTTGATTTGGAAAACATTTTCCAAAACTTTTACCCCAACCAAACATGAGAAAATTGGAAAACATTTTCTTCGTACCAAACACACTCTACGTTCCATACACATAAGGGGATATTGATCGATGCTTTTCCCTACCATAATAATTTATAATGAATCCAAATTAAGAATATGGACGAAGACTCTTATATTCATGCATATTACTATTTTTACGTGGGGTTAGCTCATGAACATTTTTATTTTTTTATAGAAATTTTTTTGATGATATGACTTTTTAGAAAAAATAATTAACGAACTCAGTGGCGGATCCAGGATTTAAAGGTTGTAGGTGCTTACTTCCTTTAACATAAAATTCGCTGGAAAAAAATTAAAAAAAGAAATGCTACTAGCACGGGATTCGAAGCCTCGCCAGTGGCTTCGCACGCCTCTTATTGCAGAGGTTTAAACCAGCTCACCCATAGCTGCTTTTGTTCTATGAGTGCTCATTTAAATTATAATAACATATGTATCGTATTTTCTGTATATATATACAAAAAATTTCAGAAATCAATGAGTGCTCGAGCATCCGCGTCTGACTTACTGGGTCCGCCCCTGATCGAACCTATATGAAATTGTAGAGAGTTGGGGGAACAATAATTATAGTCTCATCATTTTAAGAGTGATTTCTGAACATTTAGGGGCCAATTTACAGAATTGGATGATTTTCTCAGTTTTTCGTGTGTTAGCCGATAAATATATCGGTAATATGACTTTACGATGATTTTTTTGTGAAACCTTTATGAAACCCTTCGCAGGAGTTGGTGGCCACCATACATATAGTCTCATGATTTTAATAGTGATTATTTGGCATTTAGGGGCCAATTTACAAGAATTAGGTGATTTTCACAATTTTTCGTATGTCCTAGGCCATGAATATTTTGGTGATATGATTTCTGGATGAACTTTTTTGTGAAATCTTTATGAACCCTCCGATTGATGGAGCAGTACATATATACTCACAATTTTTAGAGTGATTTTGGCGCATTTAGGGGCAAATTTACACGAGTTATGCAATTTTCTCAGTTTTCGTGTGTGTTAACTCATAAATATTTTAGTGATATAACTTCCGAACGAATTTTTTGTGAAACCTCTATGGAACCCACCATAGGGAGTTGGGGGAGCAATATGTACAATCTCACCATTCTTAAAGTAATTTTTGGGCATTTATGGGTCAATTTACTAGAATTAGACGATTTCTCAATTTTTCGTGTGTGTTGCCCCTGAATCTTTTGATGATATGATTTACGAATGAATTTTTTGTGAAAACTTTACTAACCATTCATTTATTTTATATGTAAATAAAATTTATAATTCATATCATTACTTTAAATCATTTATATCACATATATCGATTATTATCACCAAGATAAAATGTATAACTTCAAATCAACTCCTACTTTATCATTTGTATCCACTAATTTGTATTATATTTTATCAAATTTATTTACCAATCAAATTTATCAATCAATGAGAAATTCAAGTTTAGTGTGAGATGGTTGTTCGATGGTTGAGATTATATTAAAGACTAGCATACTACAACTTATCTTCAATTTTATTTTTTATTCAATTAAAGTTTGATCAATAAATATAGTATTTTTAAAGAATATCTTTGAGATAGTGTATCATGCGATTTTATATACTTTTGCTTATTTGATTTGCTTGTATAAAAGAATATGGACGATTTTAATAGTTCTACAACTTATGAAGTTTTTATGCTTATGAGAAAACACACTACATAAAATCCAAATTACAAGTCCGAACGAAACTTTAACTTTATCTCATAATTTCATCATATCGCATAGTCAAACATACCTCAGGATCCTTTGACTACTAAGATCAATTTGGATTCCTACATCGATGCTCAAGATTTTTGAATTTCTTTTATATATATATATATATATATATATATATATATATATATATATATATATATATATATATTCATTATATTATTATTATATATTATGTTCCTAGACAACCCAAAAAAAAAAAAAAGAGAGGCTGCTGCTCTTAAGTTGCTCGTCACACTCCATTATAACTAATCTTTTATTATTATTTCTTTTTATTATAGAATAAACCAACTTGTTTTTTTTTTTGGGATAAACTCATTAATTATCAATAGTTTGCTCTTCATGGGTAGGATTTAATTCATATAAACTAATAATAACATTAAATAAATACTATTATTTTAGCATGTATTTACTATATTTTCCATCTTATATATATTTTTTTTGAAAAATTAATACATGTCATCATCATTTACTAATAATGTATATGACTTAAACTCTTTTATGATATCTTCCGATAATATCTATATGTGAAATTAGAACTCGCCATTGTGAAGAGAAAATGAATATGTCAATTACTATTCCCTTTTTTTTTAAGATCATTAATTATCCGATGAATTTAAAAGCAAGATATTTAATTTATCAGTGTTATTATTATCTTAATTAATTAAAAGTTGAATCATATTTCTATTGGCTAATTAAGAAATACTTATTTTTATATCATCTTATAAGTTAGAAACATATGTTATCCATCTATTGGAAAGTTTAGTGTATAAGTTGTTAGAAGAATATCTATTGTGATGGATGCACATTATTTATTTATTATTGGTAAATTGTTCTTAAAGAACTTAATGACCTTTAAAAGATTATGAATTATGAAATGCAAAATTTAGAATTGAAAAAATTAGATTAATACAAAGATGAGATTTGCAAATCAGTAAAATGGGCACTTAATTTATAAATTAATATATTTGATATATATAGTTTGTAATGTAGGTGGGAAAGACGGCCAATAGACTTGTTTGAAAGAAAGAGAACTTTAGAGTAAATAATTTATTCTCTTTGTTCTAACTTATATAATGATATTTGTGATACGAAATTTAAGAAAAAAAAATTTAAATTACAATTAAATTATTTTTAAAGTACATATATCCGTAACGTTATTTTCTTTTTCACATTACTTTAAAGATATTGGAGTATTTGTTTGAGCAAGTTATCCATTAAAAAGATGAAATCGTTGAACTATATAAATTATACTAAAAATAAAGAGAAAAAAGTAAATCAATTGTCTAAAATTTGTAGTAGTGTTGTTAAAGATAAAATTCTCTATGGATTAATTTAATGATAAACAAGTAAAGTTAAAAAGAATCGAGTTATATATATCGGGATATTATATATAAAGTGATTTTATTATATTAGTGCAATTTAACTTGTTTTAGTAGATTCTAGATATATTTTTTAATAATTAATTCAGGCTAAGATATTTAACTTTCTCGTGGAAAAAGTAATGAGAGGACAACCTTGACATGATCTTGAATATTCTTTATTGCCCAAGAGGGATGAACGTGTTCGTGTGTGCATCTATTTTAAAAAGTTGACACGCCAAAGTTGGCTTATGGCTCAGATGATTAGCGTTCGTGGTGGTGGTTCAACAAATTGGGGATCCTTTCACATAATTGAGCATGGTAAAATTTGTAAAGAAAAGGATTATGGACCTAACTCAACCCTCAAATATAGCGAATTGTCTTAGTCCGTATAAGAAAATCAAATCTCCGATCCCTAGCCTATGTGAGACACTCAACATACACCCTCATGCCCAAGGTTTGACATCTGGTTCATGAGCAATTTAATATGGGGACCAACACCGATAATCGATAAACTATGAAATCAGGTGGATCTTAGATCTAACTCAAACCACGAAGCTACTTTATAATTAAGTTAAAATTGTAAAAATCCATATAAGAAGACCAAATCTCCCGGTCCTAGCGGAAATACCCCTTACGCTAATAATTTGAAACGACATTCACATAGACTGAGGAAATTGTGTTGGCATAGTAAAAGAACTCACTCGAAAGAGCAAAAATATCCCTCCGAGCTAATAGTAGCCTAAACTTTATTACAGGTAGTCATTCCCCCGTTCTTTTAGTCTTCTAAAGGACACTCACACCATGATTCAAAGAAAATTCGAGTGATATACATATAAACTTCGGCTCATCGTTCCCTTAGGGGAAATCATCAACTTACAAAGTTTCCTATTGTTGTAGGAGTAAGTTGTCAGTGCATATAACATAAACTCGAAGCAAAAGTTGGAGACGATATTATGTACAATTCAATCTGTCTATACAGATATCAAGATTCTTTGCATTCCTTGTAGTAATAGTAATGTCTATGGAGGATAACAAGAACATAGGTTTGTGCTACAAAAGTACATATGATGTTCCATTCTGGTTTGTTCATATGACCAACTTGGTATCCAATCCAACAATGTTACTTCATTCGAAGAGTACGCGAAAGAATCAGCAGAGGAACAATCACCTTTTTCGGAAAAATTGTCTTCACTGTTGGATGATGAATTAAGGACAGTATCGCGTTTCAAAATCGATGATCTTTGTTCTGAATTACTTGTGTTACTCTCAGAGGATTCTGTCAAATGGAAAGAAAAAAAAGAATCATATGTGAGAGAGGGCACTTATGGAACAGATACAATATCAACAAGCAGAGTGTTTTCTAGTAGACCTTGTTTATAAATTAGTGTTTTCTTTCGTAAATGACTTCTCCAGTAGTTCTTGATTTCGTTATCAGTTCTTCCAGGCAATTGTTTAGCAATCTTTGACCACCTGTAACGTTGATAAAACTTTTAGTACTAATAAGCCAAGTGGAAAAATTTTATCCTGGAAATGCTGACGATATGATTCCATTTAACTTTGAGATAAGATAATCACAGCTCAACGTGGTATAAGAGTAGGCAGAGTTTCATATATCCTTAAAAGTTTCTTAAGAAGAAGAAAATAAGCCTACTTGTTTCCAAACTGTTTCTGAAGTCGGATTATCAAACGTTCTTCATCTGCAGTGATATGACCGTGCTTTAGATTTGGGCGGAGGTAGTTCAGCCATCTCAATCTGCAGCTTTTTCCGCTCCTCTTCAGCCCTGTATAGTAGCATATTTAAACAGAGTTATTTGATGCTTAGTTAATGGATGTTTCATGGTCAGTATGAAAACATGTCAAAAAAAAACATATAGTGTAAAAAACTGAATCATACCTGAAGTCTTTGCTAAGGCATCCCAACGACGTTCACCAAAAACAGCTACCATCATAGACAGTCTCTCATCTTCCTCTTCGAGCCATTGTCCTCTTCGTAGTTCCTCTTCTTGCATGGTTACTTGAGAAGTGATAAGTGAATATGTATGGTTGCCACAAACTAACAGAGTTACCCTTCTTATATAGGATGCCAATGTGGCTAAAAAGAGAAAAAGAGCAAGTGGAAAAACACAAGTTTATAATGGAATATCAGCATCATCACAAAAGATAAATTCATCCTCTCAAGGCTTACATTGGGTCAGCAAAGGAGTTTTGAATATTATATACACAAAAGAGTGGAGTTCTATCTCCCTTTTTACATCACCAGTACACAAAGGTTGTCTGCTTAACACTACACTCTATAGGCATAAAGATTTTGTCTCATTCATCACAATAATATAAACTATAAGCTTTAATTAGGCATGTGCTTACATAGTTAACTCAAGATAAGCATGAGGCATTGCAAAATCCAATATATGCATCTACTGTGGGGCAACAAAATCTTATTGTGCTTAACAGCCTTTTCCATTGAATTAAGACACTAATACAAGTTGAACTTTGTCACTACTATGAAAACTACTCACTTTGTTAGGACCTGTAAAGATAGCCCCCAGCTTTCAAATGGGAAGGCTGGATTAACATAGATAATAATTTCTCAGGTACATTTTATCGTGACATATCGTTTAACATGTACAATTGTTTCTCTTTTTTTATTCGTGACAATATGGTGTTCAGATCAGCTAGTGTGTACCTCGACTATTCTATCAAGTACCTGCTACCTACTACCTGCACTATTATCATCCTTATTTGACAGTCAGCTTGTGACAATAGTGATTCTGTAAAGCAGGTGTTACTAGTGTGTTCTTTTTTTTCTACTCGTAAACAAGAAAATGTCATTGCATTTTAATCTCCTATTACACATGATGAAAGTCTGATATTTGGGAGATGTTACTGAATAAACAGAAAATTTGAGCCTGTAATAAGAAGATAGCATAGGACCATTGACTTGCCGCAAAATTTTCAAGCTTATGTAACTTTCAGTGTAATTCACTTTTTCAAAAAGCCACAATTCCATGTAGCTATCGAATGTACAGTAGATTTCAAGTCTTGAAAATACAAATAGGACCTCCTTAAATAGATAACATTTGTAGTAGGATTAACTGAACTGATGATCTCTATAACCAGCTTCATTAGTTTTTGACAAGCCTCAAAGTAGTTGATATAACAACTGGTGAACTGCAGCCACTCCAATGGAAAGTACTAACGATCAATGAAAGATTTGTTCATAAGATCGACAGCAGAGTCCATGAACTGCAACCACAAAAAAACAATAGCGAAGTGTCAAAAAGGTGAAACGACGCTTGCACGTACGTACCCACAGGTCTATGCAAGAATCCAGCAACAAATGTGCATCTTTATAATAAAAAGTCTATTTTTCACGTTCTTGACTGTACTTCTGAATTCGAAATTGAGATATTTATACTAGCTAGGAGGAAGGGGAGAGCAGCAGCAGCATCTTATTTGTTAATTAGCCAAACACTCTTATGAGCGCAGTTATACAACCTACATTCACCATTTTGATTATTGTTCTTTTGTAAATGCATAGGTAATGAAATTACCAACTCTACCTTCTTCAGAAATCAAACATATTTTTGAAATTAGACCACCTTTCGTAAAACTTGATCCTTCAAAACAAAGATATTAAAGAAAGACAAGTAGGTGTCATACTTAGTCGAAAGTTTTAGTAGTTAGCACTCGGCAAATTTTATTTGACTACATAACCAAATGTACATGCACATGCACTCACGGATGTCAGATGTCTATAATCACCAATACCCATCAGTCTTCGCTACAAATGAGGAATAGCACCTTCTTTTCAAACCATTCTGTTAGTATTCCTTCTTTAAACTATACTAGTCTTGAATCCACAGAGCAAATATACCATGTAAAGCGTGGTAACTTCCTACAGCTTTTAGGGCTACTCATTCGCTATATCCATATACCGCAAATTCTGTAAGCTATTTCATTGAAGTTCAAAAAGGTTATTAACTTTTGCAGGTAAAGCTAAATCAGTTCTGAGACAAGGCAGAACTGCTCATGCAAAGGTTACGTTAAAGGAATGAACAACTTGTTTTAGAGGCAATCAATAAATTAACTAACGAAACTAGTTGCTTTCACAAGATCTACATAAGTCACTGGATTTTTCTCAACAGGATTGTTCTTTAGATAATTGAAACAGTAAACTAGACAGAGTAAAAAATTCACCTTCCCAACTGACTTCAGTTCTCGTCCAACAGGTTCCATAAATTTCAAGTCGACTTCAATGGGCCATACCTGCATGCGTATAAAAAGTAGGGAGTGTGAAAACTGAACACTGGGACTTAATGAAGAGGGTCAAGAGAAAAGCCAAAAACTAATTGTGATAACATATTTAGCACAGACAGCCAACTACCATAAGTAATTACATTTGCTCGATTCAACAAGTATCATTCATGTGAGCTTCCCCCTCCCTCAACACTTTATAGTAAAGGAATCTATTTTACTTCTTTACACTACTGATATGCGACATTATCATTTCCTTTCCCTCTATGTGCAAGGTGGTTTCTAGCCAAGCATCAATCCAATCTTATTATACCTAACAAAGACAACTGGTAGAATTTCTAAATGCCAACTTAAATCCCCTCTGCAGAGTATTCCTATCATTCAAAATATGCAACTATCAGACTGCAACATAAAAATGCCTAAACTTGGCTGAACCTACATTAAGAGGCTACAACAAAAAACACTTGACCTGCTTGATGAACTAAATAACATCGCCACCAAATGCAGTTTTTTTCCTTCTTTTTCATTCTTCATCTTTTCTTTCTAACACCTAAACATGAAACAAGACCATCATATGCTTCACAGTAAGCACATGCACATCAATCTCTAATTACCTTTACCCTACATGCAAAGCATGGTTACAACTCGATTACAGCCGCAAGCTTATGTTACACAAACATGAAAAACCAGTCCTCTCAAAGGACTCAGAATTCTAAAAATAGTTTCATGATAACAGTCTAAGAAGTGTAGCATCCGATTGAACAAAATTCTAAAGACAAAATTTACCATCTTCAGAGTTAACTCTATCACTTTCTCCAACAAAGTCATAGTTCCAATGAAGAAGTAAATCATTTTAGATTCTAATATTAAGAATTCCATTGTTAAAAAGAACAAGTTTAAATTATAGAAGCACCTTAAGCCCCAAAAGCTTGATAGGTGGATTTTGTCCAGGAACAATGCAATCAGGCCCTGCTGCTTCTACTATTGCCTCCGTCCCCAATCCACTTCCAATTGGATCTGGATGCTGCAATTCCCAATCCAAAAAAATCACAAAGATTACATCTTTCAAAGTTCTCCCATACCCCAAAGAAAAGAGGGAAAAAGTACCACACAAACAACTCAAAAGTAAACACTACCATATAAAATTTTGAGAGAAAAGTGAAACTTACCAAATGGGAAACAACAAAACAGAAACAAATTTACGACCGCAAAAAAAAGAAGAAAAAAAAACGAACCTTCATGATAGAGAGAGCATAATCGGAAAGAGGGTTTTGAGGTATACGAAGAATAGGGGAATAATGAATTTTAGGGATGGGTTTTGCACCAGAAGAAGCTCTCCATGGAACATCTTTCTGTAAGGCAGCAGCTCCTCCACCCATTTCGGCAATTTCTATACCTATAAATTCTTGGAAAAAAGAAAAAAAAAACTTTTTTCTATTGCGGAACTGAAATTTGTAGCGATTAAGATGAAGATGAACAGTGAAGAAGAAGAATAGCAAAGCGTTAGCTACAAGAAGTGGCAGTGCCTGGATTTTCCTATCAATTTTTATCTGGGTCTTTTTTTAGTGGACGGCATCTAATTTTATCATAAGATATTATTTTATTTTTCAAAATTTTAATTAGGATTACTTAGAAATTTATGTCCAAACACATAGTTTATTATTTATAAATTGTAATTGTGAAGGTAATTTATAGTAAAGTTCTTTTTTCACCAGATATTTAATTCTACATTACAATTTAACTAATTTGTATATAGTTTCATTCTACATTACAACTAACACTCCATACGACACTCGACTCGACACTGAGTAGTTAAAAATCTGAAGTGAAACACACATATCATTGATTAAGTGAAAAATAATAATAATAATAAAAGCGTTTATGAAGTGAAAATACAAAATTAGATCGGTACTACTTTCTGATACCATTGTCTAAAACACTAAACTATGTGCAATGACCCATTAAAAAAACTATAAATAACCTGTAAACATCAGAAATTGTTGCCTTCAAAGTTCACTGAAGAATAAAAATTTCTCTAAAGAGGGCAAAATTACAGAACAAATTACACTTAAACAAGCCATTCCAGAGCTGCAGCACGCGACAAAGCAGTTATCAAATACTTATATGAGTTACACACGGCTGCATTGCCAGTAATCTTCAACGATTCAACACACTGAAACCAACGAACAAAAACTAAGAGAAATGAATACCAGCATAACAAATGGTCGTGGTAGTGGACCACATATCCAGTTTGGATTTGGGGTCTAATCCCACCTTAATGGAACAGGAATCGCGATGAATGTGTCCTTTTTTAACGTCCTTGTGTTGCAGCTGCCGCTAATCTCTGCCATCTTAGTTCTCGCTGCTCTTCCAGTTCAGTGGCCCGGGCTGCTTTCTCAGAATACTGTCTTTGGCACTCATCAAACAGATCAGCATCCATTTCCATGAACATTTTGCGAACATTTACAGTCAGCCCATGGATAGCCTGATTCCAATGATTATCTATGTTCTTTTGCAGAGCATCAAAAATGATCGGGAAAATGACATTGCGGTTCTGGGCGATCAATCCCACTATGTGCTCATTGTTCCATAGAAATAGGGCTCGTTCTGCTACCTGAAATATGAATTTGCTTCAGAAATACCACAAAAGATATAACAGATTGCCATTTCATAATCCTACGAATTACTATCAGATGATGATGTCAATATAAAATTAATATAAAGTGCAACTTACTGCAAGAACATATATTTTTAAAGGACTACTAGAACATTTCTCAACAGAAAGCTACTGCAAATACACAAATGAAAAGGAGGACGAAAAAACAAAAAGAGTGGCTTTTGCAGCACAAGCAAATGATGTTTCCAATGTACACATGAAATATTTTGAATTCATGCCTATACTTGAACATGAATGTGCTTAAGATATCTAGTCGGTCTGATCAGAAATAGACATTGCAATTGACCTTCTAGGAAAGAACAAAAGAATCGAGACAAATGGACATATAACCAAAGAATTCCACAACCACCACAGCTGGAGTACACAGCTAACATGTTACATACAAAAGCAAGTCGACTCACAAAAAAAGAAACTCTAAATAGATAAAATTAAAAAAAAAAAGGGATTCGCTGAGAAGTTCAATTAAAATCACAAAGAAAAGAATCACTCATCCAACAAAAAAGAAAGGTCATCCCAAAAGTATCCATATCTTATACTTACGAAATCAATAAAAAGAACTCAGATCTGACCCTTACCTAGCTATCTTTCTTGGGTGACAGAACAAGATTCACTTGATTGGGTAAAAGTTCTAGGACAGAACTGGCCAAAAGAGTAACTACAACTGAGGCAACCTTTCATAATGTTCCCATCTCCAATCCATGTTAGGTTCCTTAGCAGTTCAAGGAACTCAAGAAAATCAAAATAGAAAAAAGAAAGCACCTCTAAAAAGTGCAAGCTTATAATTTGAACTGAACTGCTCATGCAGCTATAGGAATTAGCACAAAGTGCTGCCCATAAAGAGGATCGTAAAGTAGAAT